GCACCTACTGCTCGCTGCTTCCGATATCCTACTCGAGTCTCGGGGACTCTTGTGCTAGTCGAGCTAAAGGGGATGGCCCCGCCGATGCCTGGCTGGTCGAGGCCGCAGGCTTCGTCGGTTGGCTAGCAACAGATGGCATTTCTAGCTGACTTGTCGATGGCGTACCCTGTACAGGTGCTGTCCCACCTCCACACAGGTTAATGTCGCCAATTATCTTTGACGACAGGTCTAGCTGGGCCATCCGAAGCTCCTTCGCCTTATGCAGGTCTACCTCCTTGGGTATCCGGCCTCCAGTAGCTTGAGATCAATCGAGGGGTAGTGGGCACGCACCATGCTTAGCACATGGGCGCTCGTGTACTCACCCGCCTCCTTCACGAACTCTGGAACCATCCCCATGCTTGTTCGCATCTCTCGGTCCGGTCCGCTTGGGGGCGTCCTTAGCTCTTCCTCTGTGAGCACCGGGTCGACAAGGTCGAGGATGGGCAAAATGCCGATTGCCACTTCACAGCACCGGTTCTTCCATGTGTCCCGATCCTCGGTGGCCTCGAGGCATCGTGCTTTCCAATAATCATGCTCTTTCATCACGGCTTCTAGATGCCTCTTGGCATTGACTTTTAAACTCGCACACCATACAAAACATCAAATGTAAAGGCACGACAAGTCAAGGCGGGCAATAGAATGAAACAGTGGTCTAGAATACTTACTCTTGGTTCCTCCTTCATTTTGGTGGTGTGGTCCTAGAGTTGAGGCCCAGGCTGCGCGCCGATTTCTCGTTATCCTCCTTGAGCGACTACACTCTCACGGTCCTTGTGGCTATTCTCCTCTTGGAGGCGGGTTACCTCGGCTTTTAAGCTTTGCATTACAGCTGCCATTACCAACAACGCAACAACACGTGTCATACACTTGATGTGATAAAATGACAACTTACTTGTTTTTTGGCGCTCTTTGTCATTGAGTCGGCCGACCGGAGTTCTAGTTACGTGCTTCTTGCTCATCCTCTCCTGGTTGGCGGCTTCAAGTTAATGCTTTCAAGCGTTCCACCTCGGCCGCCAGATTCTCTATTGTTCGCCGTGATTCCCTCAATCTGGTCGAAGCACCTCTTTCGGTACTTTGCGGTCTTCATCAAGTCCTGCATATAAATAAGCTAAGTCAGACAGTTCGACTACATAACAGGGTCAAGTGGTCAAGCCAAACATACCTAGACTTCTGTCACCAAACGCTTTGTCGCTCGTTCAACTTTTAGGGTCTCTTTGATCTCTGGGATTTCTTCATGCATCACTCACTCGTCGTTCCGCCAGCGCGACACATATACATGTTGTCGTTTGTCTTTGGGACGGCCTAGGATCTCTTCGACTTCATCCTCTTCGGCCTCTTGTTTAGGGGGCGGCGCTGGGCTGGAGATAGTAGTCTCTGCGACCACTATGGCTTTCCCACGAGCCATAGCATCGGCAAGCGTGTTCTGTGCCAACTCCGGTTGCTGCTCCTCGGCTCGGTCTGGTTCCCTTGGCGCCAAGGTATCCGCCTCAGCAGGGTTAGCGTTCCACCTCGGCTAAGCACTACACGAACCTAAGCTACATAGGATTCAAGGTATCAATATCTGGATAAGGATTGGATAACCAATGCAGCAAGTGTTTGTATCCAACACCTAAACTTAATGCAACAATATATATATGTAACAATAATACTTTAACTGCATTTCGGAAATTAGGAGGCTTAATATGCTCCGAGGCTTGCCTTTCACAAAGTTGCACGGACGGTGATCTGGCACTTCTCCTAAGGGTTGTACCTCCTGAACCTCCGGTGTTGGCTGCTGCTGCTCCCCGCTCGGTTCCTCGAATTCTAGCAGTGTCACACCTTTCGGTACACCTATTGCATGCCGACGCACAAGATAAATATCATGGATGCATAAGAAATGACATGATGCTCATGATGAATGAATCACAGTAAGTGTTTAACGAAAACATCACTGGACACTCGTTTACCGATTAAGAGTAGCTCTATTCAAATCACTTTAAAACATGTATCTAATTTAACTTGAAGAACGAGATCAACTTACCTAACTTGCATAACCTAAGATAAAGATGCTCATCTTCAGTTAAAGGCCTAACACCTAGGAACATTACCACAAGCTTAGGAATAGTAAAGGTATACTTAATTCAAAAGTTAAGGTTTCACATGCAAACGAGCAATTTCTTAATTCAATCACAACAAGAGTTCTATAATTTCAAATGACTTGCAAGAGGATATTCTGGAAAGCTTATGAAATTCTCTACAAATCATTTGTAAACATCAAAGCATGATTCTTACGTTAACCAAATCGAATTAAAGTAAACATATAATCTGTCCAGAAATGACAGGTCTACTAAATTAATTATTTAGTGATGATGCAAAAACATAATTGGACCAAACCAAGTTTACCAACTTATTTTACATACCAGAGGAACATCAGAAAGTATAGTGCCAGCTTCTAAATAAATTATTTAATGTCCTTTTCTAATTTATTTAGTTAATTAGGTGATTAAAGCAACATATAGTAAAACTATACAGAAAAATCTACAAAAATTACAGTAGCTACATCATGCTTCACATAGATTGCCATAAAAATTTCAAAGCAATTGGTCAAGCAAAACTTGCTGTATAAAAAATAATAGATGGTAGGGCTATTTCTAGCATAATTAGGAAACCCTATTGAAAAGTGTCAAGTAACAGACTTCACATTTTTCCTAGCATCATTCTAGCATAAGAATAGCACTCACCAAATTTTACCTGTACTGGATCTATAGAAAAATTATAAAAATTCACACAAGATCCATCCATGCAAACAAGAGAATTACCTAACTCTTTCCTACAGTGTCCAAAATGTATGAAAATTTAACTACAAGCTATTCATGATATGAGCAGTACACCATAAAAATTTCATGCCATTTGGAGCTACAACGAAAAAGATATAATTACCCCTATTTCCCACATGATTAAAAGAGATAATTAGCAACTCCATTTTTCATAACAGAACATGGCATAAATTATATTTTTAATATAAACTAGACATTACCAGGAACTCAACAAAATTGGAACCACATCATTTGGATCTACCAACTAGGAGATACACATTTTTGAATATATACACAAATCTGTGAAAAGAATAAAATCAAACAAAAATGGAAAACCTAACGATCTACTGCTGGGCTGGCCCGAAAGAACGGCGGCCCACAACGCGCGCCAGCGTAGCCCAGCACACGGCGCGGCCCACGCCGGCTCCCGCCTGCGCTCGACGGCTGACGAGCGGGGCCCGACGGTTAGAGAGACAGACAGGGGAGGAAGAAGGGACGACGGCGTAACTCATCGCTGGTGGCAGCTCCGGCGAGGTCATCGGTGCTACGGTGTTCGCCTCACCCATGCGCATCTAACGGTGCCATCAATTGAAGCTATTGCCGCGACTAAAGGGGGTGGCGACGGCCATGGCGGCGCACGGCCACGGCTTGGCCGGCTCCGGCGAGGCCTGACCCCGTAGGGCGCGGCTAGGCTCGGTACGAGCTTTCGGAGTTCACTACCGACCTAAATAAGCAAGGAAGAGGGGATGGGAAGGCCGCGGTGGCAGTTGGCCGCGTGGAGCGCCAACTCCGGCGAGGTCCCGCCATGGCGGCGGTGGAAGAAATGGCGAATACGCCCTTACCAAGCCTCAAACGACCCGACAGAAAGGTGGAGGAGGGAGAGGAGATCACGGCGAAGCTATGGGCAAGATGGCCGACGCGTTTTTGCAGTGGCGAGCACGCAAGGCGACGGCGACGCTCGGTCGGAAATGGAGAAGCTACTGCGGCTTGTTGCTGCGCGCGGTGGAGGTGAATGAGTGCAAATGGAGCTGATGACCCGTTCAGGCAGGCGCGTGGGGTGCTCATGTCGTGGCCAGTAGCGCCAGGATGCCCACGGCGCGTGGCAGCGTGGTTAGCCGGCCGACGACGGGTGGCAAACACGTGGCGTTCGTTTTCTGAATGTTGTCAGTTATTGTAGTTCCCATTCAGACGACTTGAACCGCCTGACAGTGCGACTTCAACGTGTCAATACGGCTAAACCGTTGATCCGTTGCAAAAACCGTGTACATGAAAATTGTAGACCTACCATCCATCTCCAACTTCTATTCAAGGATCATCGTCTAATTCTCCATGGATCAGAAGTTACATCAAGCCAAAGTTGGCTTGATCCAACTAAAACTGGATTATGACTTAGCTAATTTTCTAAGTGTGAATTCAGCATGGAAATATGACTTGTGGGCCTTGTTTGAACATGTTCTAGCCATTTTCATGAGATGGTCATATTGAGACTTTTGTTCATTGATAAATTGGCTACAACTTTGGTAAAGGGTGCATAGCCATGCAAGGTCTCTAAGTTGGTCTTTTGAATCAGTCAAACAGTCGCACTCTATAGGTCATCTTAAGTCAAACCTCCACTAGAGGGCATTTTAGTCATTTTGATCCACATGAACAATGTCCCATCAATTACCCTAAGTGTAGTTAAGGTGTATTAGACCATAATCAACCACTTTACACAAGTGCTACACCAACTTCTAATGATCACATGTGATGAAATAACAAAACAATCAATTCACTCAAATGTTGCAATTCCATGTTTCATTACTTTTGTTGCAATTTTGAACTTGCCACATTCCTACCATGTTGCCATGTTTCAAGGTATGAGAAACTCATGTTGCATTCACATGTTGCACTACTACCATTCACAAGCAAATCAAGTATGAAACAAACAAAATTGCGAAGGTTGCATATGTATGTTTCAGTGACAATGGCATGATGACATAGATGATGCATATGTTTATGAAATGAAATGCAATTTTGTGGAAGCCAAACACCTAGGGTGTTACAGGCAAATCATATATCGGGCACATCCTCAGGGAGCATTGTTTCCTACAAATGAAGAGGAACATTACCCATAAGTACACATGCCTCACAGACAGCCAGTTTTCAGCTTTGATGAACATTACACTTAGCTTACCTCTTCTCTCTTGGAGCATGTTCGTCGATTGTGACCCTCACCCTTACACAGGGTACATTTCTTCTTAGTTTATCTGAAACTGACTTCAACTTTTTCTTCAGGGCCCCTCTGCCAGGCACATGTATGGGATCAAAGACATCTGTAGAATCAACATCCAGGGCTTGCGGCAGCACAGGACCAAACCTCTTGCCTTCATTCTCTCCTCCATTTGGAGGGATCATAGCAGCTTCCTCATGAAGAACGCGTTTTAGCCGCCCATATGCTTCAAGTGATTGAGATGCTACGAAGGATGCCGTTTGACTGATATTGTGTAGCTCATGGTACCTCTGTAGGCTATTGGAATAGTCATACATGGCGCTCTTCCTTATAGGAGGAAATCCACGCTTGGCCCCCTTGTCCACCTTTCCAAAACACAGTAGCCTAGAAGCTTGTGTTCTCCTCGACGACCCAATACAAAGAAGATGTGTGAGCATGGGGTTCCAAGGGACTATAACTTTAGACAAGAACAAGAAATTTCCTTCAGCTTGCGTTCAACAACGCATATCTCACATTTCACATAGTATTGTTTGTCTCCTTTATCAACCCTTCCAACAATATACTCAACAATATCATAGCCATCTACAGTCTCAATCCAATAACACTTGTCGGCTGCTTTTACGCTGTACTGCACATCAGCAAAATAAACACTTGGTGTGAACAAATTCGCAGCCTCTTTCTCAATAGTTGAAGCATCTGGTTGTAAGCATGGCTTAGAACTTGCTTGAAAGTCCAGATACGCTTCATTACTGTGCAACTTTGAAAGACAGTGGTCAATGTGCTGTATCAGCTCTAACAGTGTCATTTTCTGATCTAGATTAAACTGAATCCTAGAGTGTAGGCTCTCACTACGCTGGTTGCTCCTCAGTCCTAAGTAGCACTTACCAGCATGATACGCCGCACACCAGATTTCCCTCATCTCATACATCTGGTACAGCCACGAGTCCTTATCTATAACTTTCTCCTTTGCCAAGAATGCTATCCATTTCCTTTCAATCTTTTCTATGGAGCAACGATCATAAAGAAAACCCCTAACCTTATCCTTTAGATCCTAGGTGTGAAGATTACGTGCAATGCACACCTCAATATGCCATACGCATAGCCTATGTGATGAATTCGGCCACACAATACTGATTGCTTTCTGCATAGCACGGTCTCCATCGGTGATCACAAAAACCGGATGCTTCTGAATCATGGCATCACAGAATGACCTAAGCAGCCACACATACGACTCAGTATCCTCGTGAGAAAGAATTCCACAGGCAAAAAGAACCGTGCTTTTATGGTGATTCACCCCAACAAAAGGAACAAGGGTCAGGTTGTATCGATTTGTTTTGTACGTGCCATCAAACACGACGACATCACCAAACGCTCTATAATCCATCTGACATTGAAAGTCACACCAGAGCAGTCCCGTCAGGTGCCCTCTCCCATCAGTCTTGTACTGGAAAAAGAAATCAGGTTCTCTACATTTCGATTCTGTCATGTAACTGATGATTGTTCGAGCATCACCACCGGAAAGTGTCTCCGCCTTGTTGCGATGGCAGAAATTGTAAAGGTCCCTTGATGTAAATCCAACCTTATCATACCCACCGTACCGCCTAACCATAATATCCATTATCTTGTGTTTGTGGATCTCAGAAATCTACAGCTGCACAATCTCTGCTTTCTGATCATCGCTGATTCTTCTATGTGAATGCAGAAAGCAAGCAAGGTCTGGTTCCGTCATCGGATGGTTGTGCTCGTCGATGAAATCCTTCACATACCACTGCTCTGTGTTCGGATCCTGTGCAATCACAAGTTGAGCACGACATCCACAACGAGTGATATTCCGCAGCCTCCGCTTCTTGATCTCCCTCCTCACCTCCTTCTCTGCGTGGAAACCTTCACAGCTGTAAACAAACTTTCAAAGGGTCCTCTCATTGTGGCCATTGTCCCACTCGCAGTATTCCTTTCTCACACTAAATCCTTTCTCATAAGCGTAGTTGTTATAAAACTCAAATCCGTCGTCCTCACTGCCAAACATCTCCATAACAATTTCACTGTACTCCAGCAAAGAATCATCATCCGACATTTCCTCCTGAAAAATGAAGCTTTCATTAGGATGCACAGGCTTTCATTATTGAAATTCACTTTGCACTTGAAGTTTCAAATTCTCATTGTCTCTTGAATATTCAATTCACATGATCTACTGCCACTAGTAATATAATCCTAGATCATTAGGTGCTGCCTGTTTAGAAAATTGACACATTGACCCTAAACCCTAGACTCAATAGCATACCATAGCTATGTAATGAACTTAATTACAATCAAAAGACCTGCATATAGTACCAATTGCAGGGTAAAGATACTATGGAAGGGACCATGTAGCTCTTAAGTATGATATTAATTCATATAATATGCCAAATCGCCAATCAAAACCAGCTAGTGGGAGATGATCAAAGTGTATCCTGATGGCAGCATGTCTGACGGGGCACATGTAGCTGAATCCAATTAGTTGGAAACACCATACAGGTTGTCACGTGGACACGATTTAATTTATGCGAACACCTTCAGCCCCACGCATGAGTCACACACACATGTTCACTCACTTGCAACCAAGTGAGATCAATCTTTGTTTAAGCTTACACTTGATCAAGGGACTGAATCAACAGTACTGCCTATCTACTAAAAATTTAGCCAAGTAGGCCTTGCCTACTACACAGATGGCTGGAATCACATGGATTATCTTAGCATATATCATTACATTAACAAGCTCCCACATGCTTCACTTATTTTTAATCTGTCACCCTGTTTGTGCATAAAGTTTGAAAAGGCTTATGTGAATCATGTGGACCAAGTAATCTGTACAGCAGATCAACCAGGGACAGTGATGACTGATGAGGCCTCATGGTCTGATCTTGAAAAGATCCTCAAGAGGATGGTCAAGTTCAGGAATGATTACGATACGTGGGGTTATAAAAGTAGCATTTCACACCACATCACTGACATGATTTGGCCATCACTAGTAAAATCCCTTAACTGACAATCTCTACAGCATGATGAAAGTGTCTTAGAACACTTCGTAACAAACTTCATAAATATCTTAAATTGGTTTATGCTATCACCACATGTTGTCGATCGTCACAGCTTGTAAATCACTAAATGAGTAAAATTTTGATTCTGAATGAAAGTAGATCATAGCTATGACACTTTCAAGGATATACATAGGGCCGAGGACGAGCTATCTTGAGTAAAGATGGCAGCGGTGCGTGCCCTGATGGGTACTTGGCCACCCGTACCCGCACCCGCCCAGATCAAAATCTTACCCACAAAGTTACCCGTACTGTGGCGGGTAGAAAATTCATTCCATACCACTTTTGACCCGACGGTAATTCTTACCCGACGGGTAACCCTTTTCAAAGAATATACCCGAGTTCACACACCAAAATATAATAGCTTCCAAAAAAACAAATCAACAATAGAGCAACAAAACAAATATATATCTAGGTCAAGCTAGTTGAAATAGATCAGATGTCTCATTAGTTCATTCCAAATATGCTTATATGGGGATTAGGGTTTGAGGGAGTTCTGGAATATATATACTCATATGCTTATATGGGCTATATGCTTATATGGGCTAAAATTGCAGAGGTTGGATATTATTTATGCGGGTTTTTTTACCCGCGGGTATGTGGGTATGGGTAGTATACACCCACACCCGTACCCGCATACCCGATGGGTACAAGAATTCGTCCAATAACGTACCCGCGGGTGCAAAATGTCTTCCGTACCCGCCTCCTTATCAGGTAAAACCCGTCGGGTACTCGGGTTTTGGGTACCCGTTGCCATTTTGAATACTGAGGGACCTTTCAAACAGAGCTTGCAACGGGCCCAGGATAGTAATTGTAGCGTTATTTAGAGGTGTCTGTGCGGATGACTAGTGAAGCTTTACATGAACAAAGAGGCATATGAAAACTATGCAGATTAACACCAAAACAATTTTGGAATCAGAATGAACACAAACCAAATTGATTCGAGGTTTCATCATGTGATCGGATTACAGGGGAGTTGGTACCTCGAGGCTGGCCTCGGACTGGAGGGCGGCGAGGGCGCGCGGGAATCCGGCGGACTCGATGAAGGCGGCGATGGAGGCGGCCACCGCGGCCCTCGCGCTGGGGGCGGGGGCAGCGGCGCGGCTGGGCCGTCGTCGCGACGAGTCTCCAATGGCTAGAGGAGGAGAGAGCGAGGCGTGATCGCTAGGGTAAGAGCAGTCGGTCTGGCGATGGTAGGCCAGCCAGCGCGCGTCGCCGTAGGCGGCGCAGGCGGGGTGGCGGCGGTCTTGTGTGGGTCGGGATCAGCGATGCCGAAAAGTCGGGCGAGTCGGAGACGGCAGGCGTCGGGCGCAGATCGGGAGGGGGCGCGGTGAGTAGTGATATGCACGTGAAATGACCAACATACCCTTTATGATGATAATTAATATTTTATGGAAGCAATGGGAGACAATGCGATGCAATTTCAAGTACTATAAAAGGGCTCATAAATATAATATAAAGGGAGAAAAACACCGGTTCGGTCAAAATGTAAATGATTATGTACAGAGCAGTACTTCTGATGCAATCACAACCAAGCATTGAGATTGTCTGTCGGTTGTGAATTTGTGACCCAGGACAGTGCCCTGCTTTGCATCACTACTTCAACAGTACTCTTCAGTGAACGAACAATGTTTTTCTCTCACAACAAATCAGCATAAGCCAAATTTCAGCGAAACGAACAGGGTGGCTTGGATTTTTTTTGAAGGAAAGACATTGGTAAATATTGAGATGAGTAGAATTATCATACCATGAGAATTTTAAGTCTGCATGAATCCTTTCCAGAATTTTAAGCCACATATGTTTTATGATACTTCATATTTCTACCACTATGAGGTAACCATCTCTTCTCAAATTGAGACTTTGTGATCTATTCAAGACTATTATGCCTATATTGACTTCACATAATCCGCTGAAAACTATTCAAGTTCTGGACATCAGATGCGAAGGGTATTCACGTGGAACCAGTTTATACTTTGCCTACTTACAATCAATAATCACAGTCATCGAACCAAGGTCACGAGCAAAAGCAGGTGAAGCCGCTCCCGAGTGAATAACAGCAACTTCACTGCATCTGCTGATACCTTCAAATGCCTGCACGCACAATCCTGAGAATCCCACCAGAGCATGGAACACATTTGGAAGGCTTGTCTGCAGATTGTTCAGTGTCATGGCTCGGCTTACTCTCACAGAGGTTAGGTATCTGGCCTTCTCCTCCTCAACCTGCTTTCTAAATGCATCCAGTTTCGTTTCATTCTTTGATACTGAATAGTGATTCTTATTTGGAGGCTGGGCTGAGTTTTGCATTGCATTTTCACTGTGTTTCTCTAACTGGGTCTGGAACTTGCTATCCATGTTATCTGACTTTTTCTTTAGTTGGCGCTCCTCACTCTGCTGTACAACTATAGAGTGTATGATTGACATAAAGGTCTTTATTGCTTCAGCTGCTACCTGTTTGTATAAATAAGGGACATCTTTTAAAGAGGGGAGAAAATAGCTAAATGGTAAGCACAACGAAGTTCTTGAAAGAATACACTAGTCCTTCAGTTCATAATGAATAAGCCACAGGTTTCTTATTCAAAGAAAAATTATATATCCTTAACCAAAAGTTGCTGAAAGCTGGGTTTCAATGGGAAGAAAAGGGCAAGTTGGACCTATCATACCTTCTCCGGTAGCCTGTCAAGAGCACGCTGGAGTTCCTCAGAGAGGCTACGGATTCCAGATGAACTTCTCATTAAGCCACCATCATCTGGAAGGCAGCCTGTGAGACTAATCCATTGGTTAAGGATGCTAATGTATTCACGCTGCAATGTGATGAGATTGCAGAAGGCATTGTGCCATCCAGACACCTCAATTTCCAGCTGAGATGTTGCCTGGCAATGACTGTCACTTGTTGGTTCACTCCCAGGTATGTTGCCAAGGAGACTAACTTGCTGGGCAATATGGTTCTGGACCTGATGGCACTCGGACATGTTTCTCCACATATGCACAAGCCTAGATCAAGAGAAGAAAGTTCAGACAAGGTAACATGAATGAAATAGTATAAAGACTCAAAATGCATAAAAAATTGTAACATCTGAGGCATTGACACTGAGCTGCAATGATAACTTGCTACATGCATTCATTTATTAATCCAAGGGCACATTCCAAGACAAAAGTTGCATTATGCATGAGGTAACTACTATCGAACAATCTAATTACAAAAAAGCTCCAGTATGACAACACTCACCATGTGACTTATACAAGTTAATAAGCCATATCTGGGAGTTCCAAATGAAATTATATGCTAATGTTAATACAAGAACAAGTACTAGTGGATGTTTCTTTTAAAATAGCAGTTTTTTAGTAATATAGTTAGCTAACTTTTGGAGCTTACCCAACAGATAGTTCAATAATCTGAGGATATAATTCCTCATCTCTGAGATTTGATATGGAAAAACACGCCAAACTCACAGCTTCCTCCAATGAGATTATCCTAGTTTGCAGTTCTTCAATAGCATCCCGAACTCTTTCTGCATGCAGTCTATCATGCTCCCCTGATTCTAGCTTTTGTAGCACTGAGACATGTTTCTTATACTGGAGCCTTGCAAATTCTTCATCCTTGCAAGATAAAAATAGTAATAATCAGCAATGCGTTGACTTTTGGTAAAGCAATAAAGTGGAAATATTTAACGATTTTGCCATCATGCTATCGTGCTCTCTTGTTGATAGAACAAAAAAAAAAAAACACTGCTCAAGAAATAATTTACAGATAAATTGACTCGTCAATTTGTAGCTAACAGCCAATTATTCTACTAGTCCAAGAGTTCACCTTGATTAACTTGTAGAGTTTTTGCTCCTCATCGTAAAGCTTCTCCAGCGTCTTGCCATGGTAACCATATCCAGAGGAATCACTAGAATTCAGAACTGAGGATTCGCTGTTAGCCTGCTGAGATTTCAAAGACCAGCTCCAAGAAAGCGTGGAGAAAACCTTTGCAGATTTGGAATTTTTTCCTGCACCTGGAAACAAAAAATACTATTCAGGAGTGTCTGAACACCAAGAAAGACAATGCTTCTGTCCTTTCATTTTTACTCCACTGTAACAGAGTAATGTAGTGATGCACTTGATCATGAAATGGTTTCTAATATCGGTCACTTTCCATGGATGTTGCAATACATTTACACAAAAAAAGCATCGGAGAACCAAACAGTGTAGACCAGAAGGTCCATATACAACAACTAAATCCAATAAAGATTATACATTCATAAGCCCGAAGTAACTTCTCCTAAACAGGACAAATTAAGACAGATTCTGTATAAAAGATCTGCTTTGCAATTCTTCTGAGGATGCTACAATGGTTTCAAACAGGACATTTCACACTTTTGAGTGTTGATTCTTAGAGAACAGCAGAACAGTGATATGAATTAATATTGTCAAAAAGATCAAACCATGAAATGGAGACACATTAATCAATTCAATTTCAAAACTAGTAGATGGATTCTAGATAGATATCTTGTCGTCAATTTCATTTTCCATGATAGAACACATTTTCATACACCAAATATCAAACTATTTTGCTTAATGATCCGTAGACTTTTCCAAAAGAGCATTGACACGGCAACCCCAAACAAAGAAGATTCTAGAGCAGAAATATCAAAAATACGTACATAATGATAGTACATGGGCACATATTACCTTTCTTTGCCTCTATCTCTAAGGCATCAGGCCGCCCACCAGCAGAGTCCAAAAGAACCACAACGTCATTCCCAGTTGCTGCTGCTTTCAAGAAGTACTCATCAATCTCCTTAACAATCTCTACAAGTGACTTCTTACTCCTCCAAGGCACCGCCATAGAGTCTGAATCCTTTGTCACCCAGCTCACCATTGAAGAGTTGCCATCACCCAGAGCCCTACCCTTGGCTGGATTCACATGGACCCTATCCACAATGCCGTCATCATTGCCAAGCACACTTTCATCCTCCTCTCCATCAAATTCTGTGTCTACCTCAGGATCATTGTCCATGGTAACCTGCGAGGCCACTTCTTTATCGTTCCTATCAGCAAATGGAGATGGGAAACTCAAGCGGCGCACATTGTAGGGATCCAAGTCCTCCCAATCTATGCCGGGTGGCAGGGGTGGTGGTAGAGGAGTTGAGCAGCTGTCGGTGTCATCATCATCATCAGTAAAATCACCCCCATGGAGCTCATCATCCCTCTTTCTTAATCTTATTCGACTCAAAACCAGAGGTGGTGGTGGCAGCTCATTATCTCTCTTCTCCATCTTCCTAATGGTGGTTATTGGACTAAAAGGGAGAGGCGGCGGGGGGTGTGGCGAGGGTGGCAATGAGGATGTCACTGAGGGTTCAGGAGGAGGAGGCGGCTGCTGTGGAGTAGGTGAGGCGGCGCCGCAAGGTCTCACGGGAGGCTGCTGTGACAATGCAGACTCCAGCTCCACAAATTGCCGGAGGGTAGCTCCTGTGTTGCGGAGGAGCGTGCAGGTATGCAATGTGCGCAGCTGCAAGCTCAGGGCGGCGGCGCACGAGCTGCTTCATGAGCTGCCTCCTGTCCTTGGAGCGCCTCACGGGCTCCTCATTGTCCACTTTAGAGTTGGAGCAACCCATCTGCCACCAAGGAACACAAATTCCCCACTGATTGCCTTAGAAGAACGCAGACAGCAGCACCAGCTGGAACTCCCAAAACTGGTACTTTCCCTGGGCTCGATCAAAATTGACTGAAACCGGTAACAATTCGCACTAAAACTCCAGAGCGTAGGCACTGTCCAGCCACAGCTCGTAATCATGGGACGCGCAAGAAAAAAAAAATCTCCGGATGGGTTTTACGGGTTCCTACAAAATTGGCTGAAATTGTCCTCAATCTGGCTAAAAAGGAGGGGCACACGCCAAGAAATTGGTCCTGCTCTCCAACCACCAGTAACAACAGCCTGCCAAGTCCTCTACTTTTGCATCAAAACCCGATGGAACCGGCGCTGAAACCAATTAGACAAAAAGAGATGATTCAGAACGACGAATCAGTCACGAGGAGGAACAAAACCAAGATGGTGACGCGGACAAACAGAGATTCTTGAATAGAAGTATGCTGTGGCTGGCTGGTTGCCTTACCAGAGAGTGGCCCGATTGAAGAAATGCTCCGCGGTCAGCAACTTACTGTTTGTGAGATTGGAAGCTAAGCCGGGCCGAGGAAAGAAGGATCTAGACAGGCGGAGGAGAAGAATATGCCGCCCACAAAAAGAGAAGAGAGAAAGATGGAGGTAATTGCAGCATGTGATTCTTACTCACTCCCAAGAAGCCATCTCTCTTTCCCACCTCCTCTCTCTGAGAGAGAGCAGGCAACAATGGGGTGAGAGAAAGTGGAGCACCGGCAATTGGGGCTTGTGGTGAGAGAGAGAGAGGGAGAGGGATCAGCGGCGGCAGCCAGCCGGCAGGAGCAGCAGGGTGAGAGGAAGGGGAAAGAAAGAGAAGGCGTGGGATTCAGTTTGCGCAATAATAATAAAGTAGTAGTGGGAGGAAAAAGTGCACCGCAACGCAAGGGCAGTTGGACGGTGGACCCGTGGTGGTGTAGGAATGTGATCAGAGCTGCCCCTTTCCACCACTGGCACCGAAACTACAGGCCTGGCTGCCTCCAGAGCTCCCCTTGTAGCTGTGCCTGTGTGCCCCCTCCTCGCTTTTTCGTTTTGCCCTTCCTCTCGCCTCTTTGCTTTGCTCTTGTTTAGGTCCACACTCCACTCCATCTCCACCCACCATCACGGATAAGGATTAAAAACAGCGTAATGATGATAATTAGTGCTGCCGTATTTGTTGAAATTTGAGAAGGCCTATGGCGTATGGGCTATTGACCACCGGTGTTTCGACGGACTACAGGGGTGGTTTCAGAATGATTTGAGTCTAATGATGATGCATCTGTATTTAATTGAAGGAAAGCACATTTCCATGCCAACGGCCAACCTATTTGTTAATGTAAACAGAGGCTCTTCTGGTTTTGAGTACGATCATGCCATATTGCCATGGAAATGTGCTTTCTAGGATTATTAGGTGAGAGACAAGTTTGGGTTTGCTTGTAGGGTGCCACTACCTGTTTGTTCAGGCACACTTTTTTTCTTCTTCTTTTGGTCGAGGCAGGCTGACTCAACAACAGCAGATACGATACGAGAAGGATGGGGGAGGAGCACCGACTGCACCGAGCACGCACGGCACGGCATCTGTTTGGTTGTACAGACTCTATCTAATACATATAGGATTTCAGATAAACACGAGCCACCAAACAGATGAGGTTTGATGAAATGGAGACGCTGGGTGTTGACACAGCCAGAGCCAGTGGCTGCACGTCTTGGAGAGTGTTCTTTCAGCCACCACCTCTCGTAACTGCCGCCGTTCTTCACCTTGAAGCTTGTGCACGACTCTTTGCCCTTCTATTCCGTACTCTGTCTCGCTCGGTCGATGTCCGATGTTTAGGGGTTGTTCGGCAAGACTTTTTTTTGAGCGCCTGCTCAAGCTGTGGCTGCGGCTGCCTCATACAGGAGTCTGCAAACAACTTGCAGCGAACGCAGCCTTAAGATCTGAAGCACGTTTTCTTAAAAAAAAAGATCTGAGCACGTACAATGGGGATGACCATGAAAAAAGGAACAACAATATGCTTTACCCACAAAAATACAAAATGGCATGTCCACCGGAGATATCTCCGATTGCGATGCATTTGAATATGAATATATAAAGTGTTACATGCACCAACAAATAAATTGGTGAACTTTGCCATTCAATTTCAAGTTCTTGACTTAACAAATGTGCTTATATTTTTCTAGATTTATTTCTATATTTAAAAAATTGTTCGTAGTAGTAATAAGTGTCATGTTTGTATACAGCAACATACTTAAGATAACTTCGTCAATCTTAAAATACCAGTTTAGTCTTTGAGAGTTGCTTACTGGGATAAGGTGGTGAGTTTGATACCAAGATTGGTAAAAAAAATGATATATAAGCGTTTGGAGATGGCCTAATTGTTCGGAGGAGCTTATACAAAGGTAAAGTATGATTTTATCAATTTTACTTATGGCTGATTAAATATCTTTGGCAAGTGTTCTAGATTAGACCAAAATTTGAAAAAATGATCCTCACCTCATTAATTGACATTGATAATCTTAATCTATCTAAAATTGAACATTTGTGGTCATTAATGACAAAGAGGGAGAAATTAGTGCACAAAGATAGAAATAAAATGACAAAGGAGAGAACTTTGACATAGGAGGAGAAATATAAAAGTAAGGGGATCAATTAAAATTTGAGCACACAAGTAGGGGGAGCAAGCTCATAAACTTGATTGATGCATTTGAATGTGCATTTCATATGTTTGCTTGCATGTCACAAGTTTTAAATTAAAATTCCATGTTTGTGTGGTGTATGCTAGTTGTAGGTTTGAATGATGAAATAAAAAACTAGCGTGTATAGGTGATAGTTAGATATGCCTTGTTTACTTGGTTTGTTTTTCACAAGTGGTGCTAGAACCTTGCTTATAATGTTGATCTCACGAGATATCTAGTGTTTGTGTTTCGCAAGTAATTCCAAGCGGTATCTAACTAGCAATGGTGCTAAGGATGGTATATTTGGTGCACTCCGATTGATATTACGCTTTAAAGGTCCATCTCTTATACCTTAGCATCATTTGGTAGACATTACTCTCCCACAACTCAAATCCATGCATATGTGCAAGCTTCAATCCAAACTCTTTGCACATATGTAGGGGGAGCTAATGCTACCAATTTGGGGTTCATGAAACTTATCCAAATCCTTTTACACATAGTAAATATGCTCGGGCAAGCAACATGGATTTAATTGGATTTCAATTTATATCTTTGTGAAAGAGTTGCCATCAATTACCAAAAAGGAGGAGATTGAAAGCTCTAATTTAGTTTTGGTGAATTGATGAAATCCTAAAGTGCTAACCTATTACTCTAGTGATTATGAGATAGGTAGCACATTCCAAGTGATGGAGCAAATGGAGAAGATCATGGTGATGGTGGAGTCCATGGAAATGATCAAGTGCTCGGGCTTGGAAAAGAAGAAAGAGAAAAATAAAATGGGCTCAAGGCAAAGGTATAATTATAGGGCCATTTTGTTTTCGGTGATCAAGACACTATAGAGAGTGTGATCACATTTAGGATAGATGGTCATACTATTAAGAGGGGAGCTCTTATCGGACAACTCAATCATCTAGTGCCACTAGGTGTTGGAATACATGCATATGCATTTAGGCCTAGTGCACAATCGGTGAGAAGTGATTAACCTTTAAAAAATATTTATAAAAATGCTAACACACTTGCACGTGATGGTGAAACACATGGAGTGTTAACACATTTATAAAGGTGGTGAAAAAGGTGAAGCGAAGGAGGCAAAAATTGGATTGGGGTGCTGCCACGGGGGCACCACCACCCTTGTGGCGATGACCGGCTGGGAGGCCGAGAGCAGCGGGTTGCCTGTAACAGAACCGACCAATTATACGAAATTAAGTAAGAAAATCATCCGCCAGAGCAGACGATTTAGCAAACTTCAGCCCGTATAACCCGGTAGTTCGTGAAATCTCGAAGGATTTCAAACCAACTTCCATTCCAGCCAAGATCGTAATAAGTTTAGCGGTCACCGTTACATATTACATAAAAGTTCGCAATCTCAGATACATCAGAGTTTCAACATAGTTATTACAAAACAAGTTCGAATAAAAGTAGCGGAAGCCATTTGTTCAAACCACACACACACTCACGCGGAGTTCAAATATAGTGCCGCCGAATGATCATCTCCACACAAAAGCATCGAGGCGAGACGTAAGGAATGACCATGCCCATGGTCCTAAGCATCACCATCGCAGGATACAGGCAGGTTGATACAATGGTCGTAATACATCTGCCCATCTGCAACAAGTGGGAATAAAACCCTGAGTACGAGAAGGCACTCATCTAGACTTACCCGACATAACCGAAAATAAGTGACACCAAGGATTATGAAGGGCTTTATAGTAGGGTAGATGACTCATTTGCAAAAAGAAGCATTTTAGCATTTCAAGAACCTTTCTAAAAACATTATTGGCAAGTTAATTATTATTAACTTTCATCGACTAGATTTGCACGTACACTAGAGTAAACATGTGATTAAGCGGATAATGATAACCAATGATCATTAAACAACTTCCATACTGTCATATTAATTATAACTGTCCAAGTGTTCCATAACATTTACTATGATGAAGTCACTCAAGTCAAGTGCTCACTATCCAGGA